ATTTATATATAAATATGTTTATATAAGAATATATATATATATATATATTTATATATATGTTTATATGTATATAGATATATATATATATATATATAGACATATATATTTATATAAATATATATATATATATATATGAATGCAAATGTATGAAGATAATGTATAAGATATATTTGTTTATGAATATAAATGTATGTGCATATATATATGAGTATGTTAATATATATTTGTATAGTTTTGTACAGTGCTCTATGAATATATATATATATATATAATATAGATAAATAAATATATATATGTTTATATATAAAAATATATGAAGATTATTACATATCCCCAGGTGTCTGCATATCTACAGAACCCTACACCTGTCAGCTCTGCCGTCATTAAACCCTAAACCCTAAACCCTAAACCCTAAACCCTAAACCCTAAACCCTAAACCCTAAGGCACCCCCTTTAAGTCTCAGTACGTGCTGGGCTTTTTTCATTACTTTTTTTTCTCTCTTCGCTTTTGAAGGAGAAGAAGAGACAGACAGCAACGCCAAACCAACTGCTGTTAGCTAGCTAGCTAGCTAGCTAGCTAGCTAGGTAGGTAACTAACTACCTAGCTTTCTAGCTAGCTAACGGGCTGGCTGGCTAGCTAGCTAGCTAGCTAGCTAGCTATGCTAGCTAGACAGACGGACACAGGAAGCAGTGTATAGTTAGCCGCGCCTGTTCTGCATACTTAGCTAGCTAGCTAGCTAGCTAGCTAACTACCTAGCTTTTGCCTACTAGCTAGCTAGCTAGCTAGCAAAGGCCCCCTCATCAGATTGAAGGTGTATCCCGGCGTGTTGGTAGAGAGAAATTACCCCTAGCTTCTGAGAGCTCTACATGCAGCTAGCTGGCTAGCTAGCTAGCTGCGTATAGCTAGCTAGCTAGCAGACTATCCGGCTAGCTAGCGAATTACCCGGCTTGTTGGCTAGCCAAATACCCAGCTAGCCTCCTAGCTAGCTAGCTAGCTAGCTAAGTAGCTACCCAGTTAGCGGGCTAGCTATCTATCTGCCTAGCTAGCTAGCTGACTAGCTAGACAGCTATCTGTCTAGGTATCTGTGTACCTAGCTATCCAGCTATCTATCTACCTAGCTAGCTAGCTAGCTATCTACCTAGCGAGCTAGCTAGCTAGCTAGCTAGCTAGCCGCCCTCCACCTCGCAGAGGAGCGGTCCGCCTGGATATACTCCGAGAAGAAAAAGAAATACGCACTCTTAAAACCCAAACCCTAAACCCTATACCCTAAATCCTAAACCCTAAACCCTAAACCCTAAAGCATTAAGCATAAAACATCGTTTGTGGGGTTTGGGTTTCAGCTGTGACGATGGGGAAAGGTGTTGCTGCAGCTTCAGCAACCCTAAACCCTAAACCCTAAACCCTAAACCCTAAACCCTACATTTTGGGGGGCCCCCAGATGTCTTTAGGGTGGGGGGCCTCTAAGGGTCTATCATTGCGGGTAGGGGGCCCCCAGCGTTTGCTGCTGCCAGCAGAAGAGAAACGAGGGCCCCCCTTCATATCCCTCTGCTGCTGCTGCTGCTGCTGCTGCTGCTGCAGAGGCTCCGAAAAGCAGAAAGAAGGATGTCTCCCCTGTCCTGCTGCTGCTGCTGCTGCTGCTGCTGCTGCTGCTGACTGGCTGCCAGCGGGCTTCTCGTGGGTATTCCCTTTACTCCACTGCCTCTCCTCAATTGAATCTGCTGCTGCTGCTGCTGCTCCTGCTGCAGCTGCTGTTGCTGCTATGTTTCTCGGAGAGGGGCTCCCTGAAAGACTTCTCAAGGGGGGCCCCAAGGGGCCCCCCGAAAGGGTCTTCATGGGGGCCCCTCCCCCTAAAAACGTACTTGTGGGGGCCCCCGTGGGGCCCCCCGAAAGGGTCCTCATGGGGGCCCCCGAGGGGCCCCCTGAAAAGGACCCTATAGGGGCCCCCCCCACTGAATTAGAAAACCTCATGGGGGCCCCCACGGGGCCCCCTAGAGGGGCCCCAAAAGGGTCCCCTAGAGGGGCCCCCACGGAGCCCTTTACAGGGCCCCCCAAGGGGCCCCCTGGAGGGGCCCCCACGGGGCCCTTTAGAGGGGCCCCAAAGGGGCCCCCTTGAGGGGTCCCCACGGAGCCCTTTACAGGGGCCCCCAAGGGGCCCCCTGGAGGGGCCCCCACAGGGCCTTTTAAAGGGGCCCCGGAGGGGCCCCCTTGAGGGGGCTCTGAGGTACCCATTAAAGGGGCCCCCGAAAGACTCCGTAAAAGGGCCCCTTTAGGGGACCCTGAGGGGCCCCCTTGGGGGCCCCCTGAAAGGGCCCCCATAGGGGCCCCCGTGGGAGACCCTGAGGGGCCCCCCCCTGAAAGGGCCCCCTTAGGGGCCCCCCTAGGAGACCCTGAGGGGCCCCCCCCTGAAAGGGCCCCCATAGGAGACCCTGAGGGGCCCCCTTGGGGGCCCCCTAAAAGGGCCCCCATGGGGGCCCCTGGGGGCCCCCCTGAAAGGGACTTTGTAGGGGCCCCTCCTTGTGGGGTGTTATTATATTGGGTTTGATGAAGCGAAGGTTTAGAGAAGAAAGGGCTGGGGGCCCCTGAAGCATCGGATTGAGGGGCCCCTCCGTATTTGCTGCAGCGAGATTCAGAAGAAAAGATTATTGAATCATCTGAGGGTTTGCGGTGCAGCAGGGAGAGAGAACGGCTGCGTAAGCTGCTGCCCTGCTGCTGCTGCTGCTGCTGCTGTTGCTGTTGCTGCTGCTGCTGCTGCTGCGGCATCTTGCTTTTAATGGCTGAGATCAAGCGAGATGCAGCTCGGCTTAAACGCGAAGTAGAAGGAGACAAATCAACGGTCTTCCTGCTGCCCATCTGCTGCAGCATCTGCTGCTGCTGCTGCTGCTGTTGTTGCTGCTGCTGCAGCTGCTGCTGCTGTTGCTGTAGGCGCTGCTGCTGTTGCTGCAGTTGCTGCTGCAGCTGCTGCAGCTGCTGCATCTCAGGAGAAGAGCAAGCCCGAACGAAAGTTCTTGTTGGGGACCCTTGCTGCCGTCGTGCTTGCTGCAGTAGCAACTGATGCTGCTGCAGTTGCTGCTGCTGCTGCAGCAGCTGCTGCTGCGGCAGCAGCTGCGCTGTTGGGGGCAGCGACTCCAAGGGCACCAGCAGGGGCCCCTCATTAGAATCTGGGGGCCCCCCAAAGGCCCTAGGGGAGCCTGTTGCTGCTGCTGCTGCTGTTGCGTCTGCTGCTGCTGCTGTTGCGTCTGCTGCTGCTGCGTCTGCTGCTGCTGCTGTTTCTGCTGCTGCTGCTGCTGCTGCAGTGTCGCTGCTGAAATCACTATCGCTCCGAGCCAAATGCCAGACTGGGGCCCCTCCGTATGGTTGTGCTGCTGCTGCTGCTGCTGCGTCTGCTGCTTCTGCTGCTGCTGCTGCTGCTGCTTCATAAGAGGAAGCAGAAAAAGAAAAAGGAGGTGCAACATCCCCTTGGCTTATGCCTATTAACAGCAGCAGCAGCAGCAGCAGCAGCAGCAGCAGCAAAGGCAGCAGCAGCAGCAGCACAAAAAGCAGCAGCAGCAGCAACAGAAGCAGGAGGGTAGAGAGCAGCAACAGCAAGACCCATCGAAGCCGCAACAGCAACAGCATAAATAACTAACAGCAGCAGCAGCATAAATAACAGCAGCAGGAGCAGCAACAGCAACAGCATAAACAGCAGCAGCAGCGTCAGCAGCAGCAACAGCAGCAGAGCCAGCAGCAGCAACAGCATCAGAATCAGCATCAGCAGCATAAACAGCAGCAGCAGCATAAATAACAGCAGCAGCAGCATAAACAGCAGCAGCAGCGTCAGCAGCATCAATAGCAGCATCAACAGCAGCAGCAGCAGCAGCATCAACAGCAGCAGCAGCAGCAGCATCAACAGCAGCAGCAGCAGCAGAGTGTTTGGCGTGCTTACATAGGTCTTTATTAATTGGTTTAGTAAAATGAATTACTTTAATTTGTTCTAAAGAACGGCAGAGAGGAAATGCAAAAGGAGACAGAGAAAAAGCAAAGTCGGCAGAGACAGATAAACACTGCGCATACACCGCAAATAAATAAATAAATAAGTTAATTAATTAATTAATTAATTAATTAATTATAAATGCACAATAAATAAATAAAATAAACAAATACAAAGAAATGCATCGACTGAATATATATATATATATATATATATATATCCAACATAGGGAGACGGAAAGTAATAACAAATAAACCCTAAACCCTAGACCCTAGACCCTAAACCCTAAACCCTAAACCCTAAACCCTAAACCCTAAACCCTTCTTCACCTTGCTGACGTGTGAGGCCGCTATCATATATCTGTTTGCGAGGAATTCCTCCGCTTGTGCCCTGAAGAACCAACATCGATAGCCGAGGGTTTAGGGTTTGGAGCTCAGGGTTTAGGGTTTAATGCTTAGCGTTTAGGGTTTGAATTTTAGGGTTTAGGGTTTAGGGTTTAGGGTGAAATATTTGCCTATGCACTCCAAACGAAACGCTACAAAACCTTAAACCCTAAACCCCTAAACCCTAAGCCCTTAAACCCTAAACCCTTAAACCCCAAACCCTTAAACCCTAAACCCTAAACCCTTAAACCCTAAACCCTTAAACCCTAAACCCTAAACCCTACTTCACTACTTTTTCCTTTTCATAAAAGTTGGCGAGAGCCTTGGAGAGCTTTTGTTCGTTCTGGAGCGGCACACACAAAACCCTAAACCCTAAACCCTAAACCCTAGACCCTTTGCCCTCAACGCTAAATCCTAACCCTAGAAGCCAGCATAAAGGGATTAAGGTTTAGGGTTTAGGGTTTAGAGGGCCTCACTCTTTGCACGCGAAGCTGAGCCTTTGGAGTCAACTGGGGCTGTTGCTTCAATGCAGCCAGCTTCTGAAGGCACGCCAAACCCTAAACCCTAAACCCTAAACCCTAAACAATAAACCCTGAGCAAGAAACCTTAAAGAATAGACAGCAAACCCTAAACAAGAAACCCTAAAGAATAGACAATAAACCCTAAACCCTAAACCCTAAACCCTAAACCCACCTGCGTGTAGTGGCAGGCCTCGCGTGCAGCTTCACTTCTTTGGTGTAGCAGCATCTGATCATTGAACCCCAAACCCTAAACCCTAAACCCTAAACCCTAAACCCTAAACCCTCAATCGCATACAGCTGCGCCGCTGCTCTTTCAAGGCCTAGAATCTGTACGATTGAGGGGCCAGGGTTTATGTTTAAGGGTTTAGGGTTTAGGGATACGGGTCTAGTGTTAAGGGTTTAGGGTTTAGGGTTTAGGGTTTACTTCGGCTCTTCGTATTCTTCTCAACGTCTCCGCACCGCCACACAGCGCATTTTCAATGTTGGGGCTCTGCAAAAAAATAATTAGGGTTTAGGGTTTACAGTTAAGGTATTAGGGTTTAGGGTTTACAGTTAAGGGTTTAAGGTTTAGAGTAGGGGTTTAGGGTTAAGGTTTTAGGGTTTAGGGTTTAGGGTCTGCCAGCGCGTTGTGCAGTGTTAGCCTGAGTCTGCTATAGCATCATCAACAGCTGCTGCTGCTGCTGCTATAGCAGCTGCTGCTGCTGCTTCTGCTTCTGCTGCTCTTGCTACTGCTGCTGCTGCTGCTGCTGCTGCAAAAATGAATTACCAAATCAAGGAGCGTCTTCCTCAGGCAATCCTGATATAAAACAAATCAGCAAACCCTAAACCCTAAACCCTAAACCCTAAACCCTAGACTTTAAGACCCTACACCGTAAACCCTAAACCCTAAACCCTAAACCCTAAGCCCTCACCCCTCAACCCTAACCCATAACCGCTAACCCCTAACCCCTAAACCCTAGCCCCTAACCCGTAAACCCTAAACCCTAAACCCTAAACCCTAAACCCTAAACCCTAAACCCTAAACCCTTACGCAGAAGTGTGTGAAAGGTAAGAGAGCAGATTCAAAAGGCGTCGCACTGAAGAAGCCCGCAACAAAAGAATTTATTAATGCATGCATTGACTCCAACTCTGCAAACAACACAAATTTATATATACAGATATATATATATATATATTTATATTTATATATATATATATATATATATGTCTGTATATGTATATATATATATATATCTGTATATATATATATATGCATATATGTCTGTATATATATATATATATA